GCAAATAACTTCATCTACATTGATCATAACATTGTTCACATCCAAGAGATTAAGAAGAATACATAAAATCTGAACTAACTACTCCTAACCTTGACAAGAGAGGGATTTAGTCACTCATTTTCATGATAGCTTGAGCAACAAGTCTCAGAAGAAGGTTGATCAACATCTGAGTCGAATAATCGACAATGGATGGGAATCCACCTTCTTTTGGTGAAATATTGCTAAGGGATGATGATTAATGAAAGAATGAGTTTCTAGGTCAGAAAAATCCTCTCCAATGCAAGTACAAGAAAAAAGATATTTTTACAAAAAGTAGCTCATGCTACTTATAGAAAGGTCATCTGAGATGTCATGTTCGCTAGGCGAACAAAGTGGTTCGCCTAGCGAACCCTAAAAGTTCCACCTGAAGTGCATGTGCCCTGTGAACTCTCCCTAGACAAGTTTCCAAAAGTTCGCTAGGCGAGTAATCCTTCGCCTAGCGAATCCTTCACTGTGAACTTCGTCTAGCGAGTTTATCGCCCTTTCCTTGTTGTTTTAAGTTTGAGAGTGTTCGCTGGTTACTCGTTGCTTCTTCGCCTCGCGAGTGCTTCGCTGCCTCCCTCACCTAGCGAGTTTATGGCCCTTTCCTTGCTGTTTTGGATTCTTGGCCTTCGCTACATAGTTCGCCTAGAGAACTTTGTGAAGTTTTGGAGGGAGCTTCGCTGGCCAGTTCGCCTAGCAAACTTGTTGATGTTTGCTTGTTGTCTTGGTTTCCTTGTCATCTTTCTTGTGTCTTAATTCTCACTATTTCATGCCAAATTACTGCACAATAACACACAAATTAAAGGTACCAAGATACTTTCACACAAATTTGCAAACCAACCAAAGCAAAAGTGATTTTGAACACTTTCTTGACAAAAAAGGAGTGAAAGATACCCACATTTGATAGCTCAAATAAGCTCAATTGGGCATCTAACAACTCTCTCAACTAAGATCTTGCTTGCCCTAAAGCAAAGTATGCCTTTTGATGAACAAAAGGATTTTCTTAAGAAAAAGATTTCTCCGAAATTGGATCAAATGGCTTAACACAATAATTTCCTCCAAAACACAAGTTCTCAATGGTTAGAATAAAACAACACACAAGAACTAAAGTCTTAAAGCAATGCAAAACATATATCAATCAACAACAATGTTATCCTGAATGAATCACCCTATCTCTCCTCTTCGAATAAGGATTGAAGAAATTACGCGTTTGCAACCGCGGGGACAATTTCACTCTCTAACAAACAATGCCAAACTCAATTCAATTCATACAACATCTATCAATTATAAATGAAAATATGGAAGCAAGAAGATCACTAAGGTCTTTTCCGGTATAGCTTGGTCGGAATTATAAACAAGGGACATATCTAAGGCCATTGAAACAAAATTGCCGATGTAAAAGAGACATTCATTGTACAAGTTATTCACACATCCCAACTTCCTTCCACTTATTCTCATTTGAAACCTTCTCAACTCTTATTTCACAACTTATTTTTGTTTTTCACTATTTTTCTTCCAAGCAAGCATTCTTTTTCTCCCTTTTTTTTTACATTCATATTCACATAACAAATTTTCTTTTTTTAATGCTTGCTCAGTTTTTCAAGAGTTGTGGCAACCTACCAAGTTCCATTTTCGTTCTCCCAAACTTATCTTTTACTCAAACCTCAAGTGAATGCTCTTAATTAATTTTTTCTTTAGGCAAAAAGAACAATTAACATCAAATTCCAGGGTTCAAGAAAAAAGTTTTTGGAATTTCGCACAATTTAAAGTCGAGATTCATACTGTTTAGGCTCAAGAGGTTTACGAATACTCTCTACTCACGAGTAAGTTGCTTTTGGAACTGCTTTGATCATTTCTAATTGCTTCCACAAATTCACAATAATAAAAGACAAAGCATGAAGTAAATGAATGAACACGGTTTATTAGAATCCAGCATTTAGTGCACAATGGAGGTTTCCTCACAATTTGTGGTTCTAAGTCCTAGGTGAACCATTCATTCAACAATGTTGCAAAAAGAATAATATTTATTTATGACAAGATTAAATTTCTTAATGCATTCTAAAATTCTAACCAAAGGTAACCATGTACCTTAGCATTATTCACTTGTTTATTTTTATCATTGTCATCTAAACCCGGATGCACCCTCATTGGATACTTCTTTTTAGAGAGCAACCAATCTAGAAGTTTCGACAGCTTAACAACTAGAAAATTATTAAAAATCACTTAAAAGAAACAAAATAATTTAAACATAAAAATTTAACATTACTTCAAACAAAATAAAATGTGCATGGGGAAAAACACCCCAAATTAGTACACAACCCAAATATCTGAAATAAAAAATAAAATATCTGAAACATAAAGCAATAAAATCAAAAGATCAAAGACTTATACCTCTTCGGACTCGGTCTCTTCCACACTCTCGGAACCAGAAGCATAACCATTATAATCGTCCTCGTCATCATCAACATCTACCTCAGCACCACCATCACCAGAACCAGAAGCACCCGCCCCCTCTCCAAAAATAGGCCTGACCTCAGGCCAGCTCGTGTGTTGCAGAAACTGCTCACGTGTCATCATAGTGCGCTCCACAAAAGGGTCACGATATTGTAGCTGGAGTACCTACATAGAATCATGAATATTGATCATGGCACGCTGAGTCGCTGTCATCCAATCCCAATTGTAGTTACACACAGCTTGCTGAAATGGATCAAAACCCTGCGAAAACGCAACACCAGGACCATCAGTAGCCCTGGTATCTGCATCAGCTGTACTGGCTCTGAAATTCTTAGGCCGACAATACTTGTCCACGTAACGGTCATCGATCGAAGCTGGAATAGTCACTTGTCTCCGGGAGGGTAATTTCACCCTCGACTGAACACATAAGGCCATAATGAGACATGGGAAAACAAGGGGGCAATTAACTCACGCCCCTGCTTTCAGCCCACTCTCCACCACGGACTTTAGCTCATCAGCAATGATTCTAGCAACGTCAATCTATACGTTAGTTAGAATGGAGTGAACCAAGTGTGCCAATGGGATCGACACTGTTGAAGTGTGGGATTTCAGTTTGATATTTGTCAAAATAAGCAGCAACACCAACTGGGATAGAGGTGTCATGTCCTCACGATGGTACCTCCTAGGAACCCCAGATGGGTTCAGCTCTATTGTCTTGCCCTCCATCAATATGGCTTCAGAAATGACATATGTGTTTCTATGTAGCCTCAAATCACTGTGATAATCGTCAATCTCTTCCTCCCCCAAGGTGAGAGGTCCTCCAAGCACCCTATTGATGGCATCTCTATCAAACACCACTTGTCGTCCTGACACCTTCGTGGTCTAGGTAAAAGGTTCATCATCATTCGGAAGTGCATTAGCGCTTGACTATTGATTCCTATTTTTGGGGCGAGATAACTGTTCCCGAAGAATAGGTAACTACTATTCTAGCTGTTGGGACGGACAGAGGTGCACATAACTAGCCGTTGCTACGGACAGATGTGCAGTTACGGACACAAGCGTCATGACTGTTACTGGATGGTAGAACCGTGCGTGATGGACAAGGGCTGACAAGGAGAAGTGCTAGTCCAAGGGTAAACCAGTCAACCTCACCTGTTGAAGGGACAAAAAGGTAAATGCTCCTCCGAATTGGTTGGACTTAGGCAATTGAGTCGTTCTGAGAGCTGAAGTAGATTAAGGCATGTCTAGCCATTGGGACAGTTCAAAACAGTTTTAATTATTTCACTTATTTTTCTGCTAAAATATACATTTTCGACAGGTCAAAAACTACTTAATTTGTATATCTTCTATATACATTTCTTAACCGTCAGTATACTATATTTATTTATTATTTATAACGACATTCGCTACCTGTGCAAACACATAGGTAGATTAAATTAATATTTATATGACAATCATAATTTCAAATATTGTTTTATTTGGGTATCTTTTATATATATTTATTAACCATCATTATATTGAATTTATTTAATACTAGCGTTCATATGGGTACTTTCGTGTCCGTCTGTCCGCTTTTTTCAATTTACATACCCATAAAAATATAAATGGTGATTTTTTTTAAAAATTTTGATTTTAATTAAAAATATGTATATTTAAATTTGTGATATGCATATTTTAATATAATTTTTAATCAGAAGTTAAAGTCAGTTTTCTTTTTAAATAACTAATTACTTTTAGTTGATTATAATATTCAAATATAAAATGTGGGGAGTAGTTATTTTTTTAAGTAGTTTTGAAGGGCAAAAGGGGAAAAAAATAGACTACACCAAAAATATATTTTGTTTTTATATATTGTATAAATTTATAAAGACATTGCGCGACCCGCAAGAACGCACGGATATATGGCTATTTAATTTATTTATTTATTTTTCTACTAAAATATAAATTTCCAACGACATTGCGCGACCCGTAAAACTTACGGATAGATAAATGACTACTTAATTATTTTATTTATTTATTTACTAAAATATATATTTTTGACTGGCCGAGACAATTTAATTTATATATTTTTTTTTAAACATCACTTTAAATATTTTTTTTTATAATATATAATCCTTAAACATAATTATTTAATTTTTATTTTATATTTTGTTACTTTGCTCGAGCGTAGGAATGCACGGCTGTGTTACTAGTTTGGATTAAGTTAGTTATTACACGTACATAATTTTTGTCCCAAATATTAATGATGTTAGTTTTTATTCTAGAAAAAACCAAATCGTGTTACTTATTATTAATGAGATAATCTACCACCAAGGACGTTTGTTAAATCAAATCTTTTCTTGATGCCTTTATGATTTATCCAAGTTTTTTCGGATATTACTGTTTGACCAAATCTTATTAGTTTTAAACCTACTTAAACTCTTTCAAGTTTTTGCCTATATATAAACATTCTATTCCAATCAAATTAACGAAACACAAAAACAATTACTCTTTTTACTTCTACCGAGTACTTTGCTCAATCATTCATGGGTTCCTCCTTAAACCCAAGAGTGCCTCATGTTCTTCAACCAAAGCAATCAAACACTCTTTCATTGAATGATTGCTTAACCATCTTTATTGACTACACTCACTTATCTATTTCTTCTGCATCCAATGACCCAAAAGACCTTACCTTTAAATTAAAAACACCCGTCTTCAAGAAATTTGAGATTCCTTGTGAAATCTTATGCAACAATAATGATATCAACAATCAATTTTTATATGAAACATTTGATGTCATACCTAGTAACTTAATAGGCGCAGCTATACGCAATTTGAAAGATTGTGCTAGACAAATGGTTCTAGACGGAAAACTGGAGGAAATGCGTATGAGGTTTCGAAAGGTTTCTTCGCACATTCCAAAAAAAGATGAATATGATCAAAATCATGATAATGATCAACAAATTGTGGGTTTATCATCAAATTTGAAAGTTGATGTTACTTTAGATTCTAAGGATCGGTGTTCAATTTGTTTTGAGGAGTTTTGCAATGGATCGCAAACAGAACTCTTTTATACAAAATGTTCTCACATTTTTCATAAATTATGTATTGCTGAATGGATCTTTCAATGTGTCGATCATGCCCGTGATTATCCTTGTCCATTGTGTAGATGTGACATAGTATGAAGTGAGAAACTAAAAACAAGTTGTATTAATGTTCTTAGATAACAATAATTGTTTAATGGTTTTCGCCTAGGTTAATACTCTCAGTTGTGTTTTTTATATGATTTGTGATATTGAATTATGAGCTATTTTTTTTCTCATGTCCAACATTTAACCAATAGTTACTTGGCCCAGCCAATCTGCAATTGTGATAGTAAGGAGGTTAGAACTATTTGACGATAGAACTGACCTCCGAATTATATTAAACGGACATATATTTATCATATTTTTATTTTAAAAAAAAGTAAAATTCAATCTTAAGAAATTGTATCTGAATTTTTTTCTTAAAAAAAACCTTTGAAATTAATCATGTTTACCTTTATTATTTTGGTTTGAGTTTTGTTTCAACTTTTTAAATCAAATTCATTTGATAGGCTAATATCATTTTAGTTTTTACAACAAAAAAAAAAATTTAGGTTAAATCTAGAATATCAACTCAAATTTAAAAATAATTTGTTAAGTTTAAATTAGAAAACTAATACTCCGTGCTACCTTCCTTTATTTTAAAAGAACTTGTTGTGTTTCTTTTTTTAGAATAAATATTAATTTTGTCTCAAATCAAATATTATTTTGATAATTACACATTAATAAATGGTTGTATTTAGTATTGAAGCACATGATATATTGGATCTGAATGTGTCGCTTTTTTTTTTTAAAATACTATCAAAATATATTTATTAAAATTTTGTTGTCTTACATGAATTTGAGATTTTACATCAAATTCACATTTGTTTAAATTTATATGGGCTTTAACAATGACTCGATAAGTCTTCAAGCCAAACCCTAGATTCATTGTGTGGCGTGTTACTTTGTTTCTTTCTCTATTTGTGTGAGAGAACTAGTGTTTATGAACCTTTTCTCCCTTTTTCCCTACCTTTTTGTAAATCATCATTCATCTGGTTTTAGATAAGTTATTATCATTCAGCGTTTCAACAATAGTTTTGTTATCAAAATCAAACTCCACATCCCGAAAACAATAATCTGAGGCTATTTACATGTCTTTTTGAAGAGCAAAAGCTTCTACCATTTTGCTTCACGAGAGCTTCAACACCCTCTCCCCCCAACATACCTCTCCAAGTCCCCATCAACCTTTGCATGCTATAGTGTCAAATTTACCAAAATTAATCCTATGATACTCTTTACTATAAAAGTCAGAATTAACCTAAGCATCTGTGTTCTTATCATGCCAGGGATGTATATAGAGAGTAAAAACAATAGTATAAGCTAGATAGATTTTAGGTATGAGAAACTACCTATGTTTTTCTTCTACCATGGACGTATAGGACACATCATAGATCACTATGAAAAAACAGATCCTCCTACTCATAGAATTATGAGGTCAAATCCTTGGGACCATGGATGAAAATAAGTCAGCAAGGCAAAAGACAGATGGCACAGAGGGAAAAAATTTCACCAGCAGCCCTTAAACAGAACCTAGCGTCAATCAACATATTTCTATCCTTAAAGCTATGCTCTCTACTAGAAAAATAACATTTATCCTTGGTCATTATTTAACGCTATAAGCCCAAAAACCGACGCTAAATCATGATTAGTATCGGTGTCATGGACAGGTTAAAACACTAGAAGCTAACACTATAGCATTGGTTAAAATAATTGTGTCTATGCTAACCATGGCTAAATCGACTCTATGTCGGTGCTAAAACTGAAGTCAACACTAAAATATAAATTTCAAAAGTCAACAAAAATTGCATACCGTAGGCTGAGCCAAGGCAAAAGTCAAACTCCAAATGTCAACAAAATATGTTGGCTTCGACTTCATCAAGGCTAAAATAAAATTTGAAATGAACAAAATCAATCAATTTTGGCTTAGGTGAGGCGAAAGTTAAACTCCAAAAATCAACAAAATATATTAGCGTCAGTTAGAATGAAGCTAAAGTCAAATATGAAAAGTCAATAAAAAATTTATTGCTTACATAGGTTGTGTTAAAGTCAAATTTCAAAGGTAAACAAAATATATTAGTTTCAATTAGGCCAAAGCTAAAGTAAAATATGATAAGTCAAAAAAAAAAACTTTTTGTTTTGGCCTAGCCGAGACTAAAGTCAAACTATAAAAGTTAATAAAATATATTAACTTTGGTCTAATGGATGCTAAATTCAAATTTGAAAACTCAACAAATTTTTGTTTGGTAGCTGTTGCGGTGAGAATAGGATATCAAATTATTAATTAATTTGAATCGCAAATCTTTAATTCACAACTGGTCTTTGATTTATCGAAAGAAAGGTCAAAGAAAGGAAAAACCTACTTTTTGCATTATAAACAATGCGGGGAGAGATCTAGGTAAGGGGTTGGTTAAGCCTAGGGATACTGTTTAGGCTCAAGAGGTTTACGAATACTCTCTACTCACGGGTAAGTTGCTTTTGGAACTGCCTTGATCATTTCTAATTGCTTCCACAAATTCACAATAATAAAAGACAAAGCATGAAGTAGATCATTTCTAATTGCTTCCACAAATTCACAATAATAAAAGACAAAACATGAAGTAAATGAATCAACACAGTTTATTAGAATCCAGCATTTAGTGCACAATGGAGGTTTCCTCACAATTTGTGGTTCTAAGTCCTAGGTGAACCATTCATTCGACAATGTTGCAAAAAGAATAATATTTATTTATGACAAGATTAAATTTCTTAATACATTCTAAAATTCTAACCAAAGGTAACCATGTACCTTAGCATTATTCACTTGTTTATTTTTATCATTGTCATCTAAACTCGGATGCACCCTCGTTGGATACTTCTTTTTAGAGAGCAACCAATCTAGAAGTTTCGACAGCTCAACAACCAAAAAATTATTAAAAATCACTTAAAAGAAACAAAATAATTTAAACATAAAAATTTAACATTACTTCAAACAAAATAAAATGTGCATGGGGAAAAACACCCCAAATTAGTACACAACCCAAATATCTGAAATAAAAAATAAAATATCTGAAACATAAAGCAATAAAATCAAAAGATCAAAGACTTAGACCTCTTCGGACTCGGTCTCTTCCACACTCTCGGAACCAGAAGCAGAACCATCATAATCGTCCTCATCATCATCAACATCTACCTCAACACCACCATCACCAGAACCAGAAGCACCCGCCCACTCTCCAAAAACAGGCCTGACCTCAGGCCAGCTTGCGTGTTGCAGAAACTGCTCACGTGTCATCATATTGCGCTCCACAAAAGGGTCACGACATTGCAGCTGGAGTACCTACATAGAATCATGAATATTGATCATGGCACGCTGAGTCGCTGCCATCCAATCCCAATTGTAGTTACACACAGCTTGCTGAAATGGATCAAAACCCTGCGAAAAAGCAACACCAGGACCATCAGTAGCCCTAGTATCTGCAGCAGTTGTACTGACTCTGAAATTCTTAGGCCGACAATACTTGTCCACGTAACGATCATCGATCGAAGCTGGAATAATCACTTATCTCCGGGAGGGTAATTTCACCCTCGACTGAACACATAAGGCCATAATGAGACATGGTAAAACAAGGGGGCAATTAACTCACGCCCCTGCTTTCAGCCCACTCTCCACCACGGACTTCAGCTCATCAGCAATGATTCTAGCCACGTCAATCTATACGTTAGTTAGAATGGAGTGAACCAAGTGTGCCACTGGGATCGGCACTGTTGAAGTGTGAGATTTCGGTTTGATATTTGTCAAAATAAGCAACAACACCAACTAGGATAGAGGTGTAATGTCCTCACGGTGGTACCTCCTAGGAACCCCAGATGGGTTCAGCTCTATTGTCTTGCCCTCCATCAATATGGCATCAGAAATGGCATATGTGTTTCTATGCAGCCTCAAATCACGGTGATAATCGTCAATCTCTTCCTCCCCCAAGGTGAGAGGTCCTCCAAGCACCCTATTGATGGCATCTCTATCAAACACCACCTGTCGTCCTAACACCTTCGTGGTCCAAGTAAAAGGTTCATCATCGTTCGAAAGTGCATTAGCGTTTGACTATTGATTCCTATTTTTGGGGCGAGATAATTGTTCCCGAAGAATATGTAACTATTATTCTAGCTGTTGGGACGGACAGAGGAGCACATAACTAGCCGTTGCTACGGACAGATGTGCAGTTACGAACATAAGCATCATGACTGTTACTAGATGGTAGAACTGTGCGTGACGGGCAAGGGCTGACAAGGAGAAGTGCTAGTCCAAGGGTAAACCGATCAATCTCACCTGTTGGAGGGACAAAAAGGTAAATGCTCCTCCAAATTGGTTGGACTTAGGCAATTGGGCCGTTTTGAGAGCTGAAGTAGATTAAGCCATGTCTAGCCATTGGGACAGTTCGAAACAATTTTAATTATTTTACTTATTTTTCTGCTAAAATATACATTTTCGATAGGTCAAAAACTAATTAATTTATATATCTTCTATATAAATTTCTTAACCGTCAGTATACTATATTTATTTATTATTTATAACGCATTCGCTACCTGTGCAAACACATAGGTAGATTAAATTAATATTTATATGACAATCATAAATTCAAATATTGTTTTATTTGGGTATCTTTTATATACATTTATTAACCATCATTATATTGTATTTATTTAATACTAGCGTTCAAACGGGTACTTTCGTGTCCGTCTGTGCGCTTTTTTCAATGTACATAACCATAAAAATATAAATGGTGATTTTTTTAAATTTTGATTTTAATTAAAAATATGTATATTTAAATTTGTGCATATTTTAATATAATTTTTTATCAGAAATTAAAGTCAGTTTTATTTTTAAATAACTAATTACTTTTAGTTGATTATAATATTCAAATATAAAATGTGAGGAGTAGTTATTTTTTTAAAATAGTTTTAAAGGGCAAAAGGGGAGAAAAAATAGACTACACCAAAAATATATTTTTCTTTTATATATTGTATAGATTTATAAAGACATTGTGCGATCCGGAAAAACGCACGGATAGATGACTATTTTATTT